CTTCCCTACACGTAACCGACTCCCAAACCCAATTCTGGCTATTAAGGCCATTGTTGATTTTTGAAAACCCTTTTCCTTTCTTTGACCTTTTAAGTAAAATGTCGATGACGACTCCTAATAATCTTTTCAAAAACCATTGGTGAAAGATTAATCTAATTTTCAGGCATTCCTTAACCGATGGGATTTCAAAATGGAAGTCAAAACCATTTGTGGGCAAGATCAAATTTTTTTTGGGTTTTCACAATGATTTCATTACAATGGTGCTAGAATCACCCAAATAGGATGTGTATAACTCAAGTTATGATCAAATTAGTGAGCAAATATGAATCTATCAAAATTAGGCTAAAATACTGCAATTTTGTAATTTTAAAAAATAATAGATTGTAAAATCAATTCTTGAGGTCAACATAGAAGTTGTAGATAATTATCTTAGTTTTCTAATAAAATTAAGATGAACTTGTCATCATATGTATAACTCTAGATATCACGTTTAGACCACACAATATCATAGAAGCTCTAGATAAAAACATATAATTTGAGTTGTAATAATGAGTTATTTTATTCTTTAAGTACCTATATGTGATATGAGTAATGATAATATATAATGCTATGATGTGTGATGATGTTTAAGGTTCAGTGATGATGATGCTATGATTGGTTTGTGATGATAATGACATTATAATGATGAATGTTATAATATGTGATGAATGGATAATGAGGATGTATAGTGATGATATGTATATTAGATGATGTTGTTGACAACTTGATATATAAGGTGATGTTGATGGTAGTGATATGTTAAGCATGTAAGTCCAAGTTATGATTGACATTGATGTGATCCAAGCAGCGCTTGGTGTGTTGTGGTTAATTCCGGGGTTGCAATCTAGCAAGTCTCATTTAATAGTTGTTGTATATGTGATGTTGTAGTATTAATGGTGGAGTCCATGCATGCATTTATTATCACAAAATAATGTAAATCTTTGCAGGTAGACCTCAAAGGTCATCTACCTAGACCTTAGGGGTGTTATAGTTGGTAGCTTCTAACGGGAATGAAAGGTAATCATAACTAATTGTAATACTTTGATAAGAATTTGAGAGAGACGTCCCTTGGTTGAGGATGGATTAGGAGAGATCGATCACCAAAGATAAGGTGATCCTAACACCATAGATGGTGTGGTCCTATTCCATGACTCCTAGACTATCTTGAGTTGATGATGATGAATAGGAGATTGGTACCATATGTATATAGAATTAGGAGCATGCATTTTCACAAATCTATATGTTACAATTACAATTGATTGTTGTTGACGATAAATGAGTGAAACATAATTGATGTATTGAGTTGTGGTACCTTGGATGTGGAGATGAATATAAATGTGTATATAAAAGTTTGAATTATGATGTATTTCTGTTTAGCCATCCTTATGTCTTATATGTGTTACATATGGATGAAATGTCTTCTCACTATGTGTATGTTGTTGTTGTATGTGTTTTGGTTGATTGCACTTGTAGGCTAAAATCATGTACAAGAGGAAGAATTTAATGGAGGTGAAGTATGATGCTTCAACGGTTATTCTAAGATCTTGCTCTAATAGTATGATATCGGAGTTGGAAAATTTTATGTTTTTCTTTAATTTAATAGAGTTTATGTAAATGGGTGGTTTATGCCTTATTTTGATTATTTTAAGAGTTTAATCATGTTTTAGTTTAAAAGTTTTATTTATGAAATTTTTGTGAATTCTTTGACTAAAATCATTAAGATTAATTTGTTTTTATTAAAAAAATTTAATCTTTCAATGTATTTTTTTTATTATAATTTGGAGTAGAAGGGTGTCACAGTTACAACCGAGTGTGGATCCACAATGGATGCATGCTACTTTGACCATCATCACCTTTTACTTTGTACCATATCGAAATATGATGTCAATCTTAATTAGCATGTTGCCCATATATCATTTGCCATCTTTATTTCGGTTTGCAGATATCACCAAGTACTAAAAAGTTATAAACCATGGCTGAATGAAAGGACAATAAAATTGAATTTAAATTGTCTCCTATGAACACATGAACAATTCGCCTTTTTAAGGAGACCGGTCGGGGCGTGTTTAAAATAATCCAAAAGGAAAAGTAATCTTAAAGCTTTTGATGGAATATCTAACCAAGCAATAACAACTTTATCACACACACATCAATGATATAGATTTTACACCATCAATACAAATGTATTTGTCTAGTTTGTTTTGTGAATGGACATAACCCACACAACATTCCAGAACTGACAACTAATGACTAATCTGTTTTTACATGACTTTTGCTGACAAACATTACTTTAACACTATAGAAAAATCAATCCTAAGAGCACCAAATTGACCTTTGTCTTAGGACAAACCTTAAAACTATGGGATCAAGAGGCTTGGTTAAACTACGTTACTTTTCTACTTTGATTAGGAGCAAAAATATTACTTGGTTAGAACTTTGACCCAATAACTGCCATAAGCACAGATTTTATTATGCCAACACTACAAGGGTATATATTAATGCTTTTACTCTCATATTTACATGTGAACTTCATGTTACATGCGACACATTTTGTGAAATTTGAATCAGTTTCTAGCTTAGGTAAGAGAATACTAGTCACGTTAACCTTTTCTTTGTAACATTCCAGCAGTAAACATAATTTATTTACATTCATCCTCATAATCTAGATATTTTTCAGTTGGCCTATTAAGTCTGAAGTACTAACTGATGTCTAAAATTTCTATTATTTCAAAGTGCATCTGCATACTTGGAGGCTTATCAGCAAAATAATACCTTGCCAATACTTTTAATTTTGCCCCACTCTTAGGGGTTTCAGATTCAAGCAGATTCAGCATTTTGTCCTTTTCATTCAATATCCAGCCACGCTGCCTGTCACTCCATTGTCTCGGAGTTCCATGAAGGATAAAACGGAGTGGAGGAGCTCCTTGCATGAGCCTTTTAGAGATTCTCTCAAACACATCATGGTTAGTTAAGTATGCCCCAGCAGAGTTCAGACCAACATCAACATAATGAATCTCGCTGATGCTGTTCAGTAGGCCTTCCCTTGTTTTAGGTACCACATAAATCTCCTCAGATTCACTGAACTTTCTGTCCATAGGCTGCCCCATACTGGGTGAATTTGCATTAGATCCAATATCTGAGAAGCCAAGCTCAGTAACTATCTGGTTAAGCACAGTTCCACCTTTGCTAAAACCAAGGATGAATGTCTTAGGCTGAGAGAAACAAAAGGAAGGAGTGCAGCCAGACTTGGTATCTACCTGTGTCCCTAAAATGACTTTTTTTACCTGCATTACAAAAATTCAAAACATGGAAAGCATCCAGTGCAAGAAGTAATTACCAGTTGCATACACAAATTGGGACTGGTTTTACTATTGAAGAATCACATATGCGATATCTCCTGGCATGTAGCGTATTGGTGTCTTGTCAAATAATAGAATCATTAATTTAGAGAAGTTAGGAGATAGAACCTGACCAGCATATGGAATACACTTAATAAAGACTTTGTTTGGCTTATGTTTAGTAAGGTTAAATGATGAGAACGGCTAAGGATCAAGGTGGGAATTTAAATTGCAAGCTGTTTGCACGCCTGGAAGGCATGAATGAGGAGCGTGAGGTGTGAATTTTGTTAGAGGAAATTATCAAAAGTAGGGAGGGAAGAAGGGAAAGTAGGCAAAAATTGTTTACAAAGTTGTTTTAGACAGGGTTTGTCAATAAGACTGGGAATCTGTAACTGAGAGTCTAAATTTACTGTGGTTTTTCTTATTTTATTAGCTGTCTTCCATTCTCATTGTAAGGAGCTTGGCTCCATTTTACATCAATCAATAGAGTACCAATCAGTTGGTATCCATTAAAATGAAAAAAGTAATGAAGAACAAAATGAGATGCATACAGATAACAGAATTTTCTCCTTTTTATGAAGACCGGGAGGAGTTAAATTAATAAAAAGGAAGTATCATCAAGCTTAAGGCAAGGCTTTTCTGTTTTGACATAACATAGAATATTCAAACAAGGAAGTAGAGGCTTCCTCACAAGAACATCAATATCGGTTTATATTTTACACCATCAACACATTTTTCTCGCTTTGATTCTTGAGCAAAGCATTCAGAGCAAAAATATTACTTTGTTAGACCCAGTAACAGCCAGAAGTATGCACTATGCAGTTAGAGACACATAAAAATGTAGGATTCTAGCATATAAAGGAATGGGGGAACAGATCATACTTCTTCCAAGCAATTAGATAAGAGTGAGATAGTTGATGCAGACGCAGGGAATCCAACTGGATGGTATGACCTTGGCTCTCCATATTGATTCACGGATGGTATGAAGTCCTTATAGACAGCAAAAGGTCCATTAAAAACAGAAGCCTCAATAACCCAAGCATTGATGAAGGAACCAAATTTGGACACAACAATTTCAGATAGTTTCTGTAAATCTGATAGTCTCTCTATCACTGGGTTACCAGTCCCTTCAGCTCGATCACCACAGAAAAAGATGGCATTGGCTATAGGTACCTGTTACAAATTAGAAGAATCTCAAGTAAATAACGTTTTGGTGTGCAGAGGGAAACTGTGGTGTACATGTTTGAAGACATCCTTATCCATGAAAATGATACAGAAAATTTTGAATTAGAAGTTGACATTAAAATGTTCTATTTACATTTTCTAAATAGTGGAAACCTTTTTACATAAATCCCATAGTACACAAAATTCAACTACAGTTCAGGTAATAACCAAAAGAAGCCAATCCACGAGAAATAAATGTTCATCATTCATTACTTACAATGAGTACCAAATGATGAACTGATTTCTTCTCATGCACACAAAAAGACATTATTAAGCCATGATATGATTCCATTTTCAGCAACTCCATTACTAACAGAAACTCAAATAACATGCATCCATTTTATTTCATGACTTTTTACTTTTGTAAAATACAATGCCAAGCTACATACTAAAGCTAAAAATGCATAATTAAAAGACTATGATAGTTATAGTAAGACAACTGATCCACTTTTGGTTTGGTTGATGTGAAGTAAAATATTGTTATTTATAAGCAATGGAATCAACTTCGAAATTAACTTACACGCAGAGTTCTGGTTTCAGGAGAAAGGCAGAGAGATGCACCAACTCTATGGAATGTCCTGCTGTTAGGATGCAGTGGGACTCTCAAAACTCCACTCCAGCGTTCCATTTATAAGTCTATACAGAATGTTTGGCATCAAACACAGTGAATATTGGAAGTTCAATGTATTGCAAATAGGGGCATCAGACTGACAAGTCCAAATATCCATGATAGACATCAAGAGAAGTTCATTTCAGACATCTTTTATGATTTATAAACGTTCCTATTGTCATTCTTTATTCTTTATAACATTAAAAAAAAAAAAAAATCATCACATTCTGAAATGGCAATAAAACGATATTCCTCTAAAATCATAGCGACCTTGCACTTCAACCCAAGAAGCAGCATTCAACCACAAGTTTAATGCTTTTAAACTACTACATCAGTACCTAATTACCAAAATCAAGAAAAGTTATTAATTTATAAATTTGTCCTATTTATATTTTTTTTTTCTAAAACTACAGTTTATATTAGTTCTCTTTCTTAATTAATACTTACATATTTTCTAACCAATTAGAATGCATGCTTTTAAAAAAGTTTATAGTTAATGCATTTTAACAAATTAATAAAACACACTTTAATTAAGAGTATTTTAATCTAAAATAATTAATATATGAGACATATGAATTGGATTTTCTAAAAGAACAAATAACTATTATAAGTTGGATCATTTCTTTTGCACATTTTGCCTTCAAAGAATTTCTTTAGCAAATTTTGCCCCTTATTTTGCAAAATGTCGCAAATTTTTCCAATATGTACTTCAACCGTCACAATTAAGACAATTTTCCCCTAGTTTAAAGGAATAATAACTGCTACAAAATTGTCTTAATTGTAGTCATTTAAGTAATTAGAGATAAAATTCAAAATAAAAAATAATTAGGAGAAAAAATGTGAAAGTTTTTAACTTTTGAAGAAAAAAGTGCAATTAATCCAATTAAATTTAAAAGGTTTTTGTTATTTTCCAAAAAGAAAAAACAAATCCAAAAACATTACATCTCTGAGCGTAACTGCAGTTCAACTATGACTCCGGGGTTTAACTTTGTCGGTTTTAATCATAGGGGAAACCAAAAAAACACGATAAACAATGAATTAAAAAAAAAATAGGGACCATATAGGGAACACGACCATATCAAGATATAAGCCAGCAAATCACATCTAGGACCAAATTGTCAACAAATAGAACTGAGAGCATAAACTTCTGAGAAACCATGAAATTTCAACAAAAAATCAAAACGAAATCAGTCACAGAAAATAAAGGATGCCACTCACTACGATTTTCTTCGTCATCTGATTGCCATGACTGCGTTTCTTCCCTTGCTCACGTGTGCGGGTTCTTCACTGGCGATGAGTTTTAGAACATCTAAAGAAAATAGGAGACATCCTGCGTATAAAAATAAAGTAACGGGTTTTGAATTTTGATATTTTAATGGTTTAATTGCATCTTGGTTTAATAATTTCATAAATTTCAACTTTTATTTTTATAATTAAAAATCATTTACGATTTATCTATACCTTTATATTTTTTTTTATCATTATATAAAGGAGATATTTTTTATAATAACTAGCTGGCCGAGACATTTCGTATCTCTATATGTATTTTATCTTAGAATTTAAAAATAATTCATCTACGATTTTTAGCTTCATTACAATTTATGAAAGAAATTAAATGTCATTTTGTTATTATTTTTAGTTAACATTAACATGAAATAAAACATATATGATAATTAATAAATAATTAAATTGAATAATCTCATACCTTTCGAGAATAAATTTCAATTCTTTATAGAATATATCATCCATAATTTCTTAGAAATTACAAAAATAAATAATCAAATATCATGTAATAATATATGATATTTAACATTTCATGTAATTTTTTTATAGTTTATGAAAGAAATAACCACAACCTCGAAAATGAAGATATTTTTATTTTGCATGAAAGTTGTTAATATGAATGGTATTACTCAATCTTGCATTTTTAAGTGTCCTAATATTATGAAAATATGAATTAAAATTGATTTAAAAGAAGAAACGTTACAAATATGTTTTTATTTCTATCAAATTGTCACGTACAAAATATTTTCATAATCATATTATTATATTACCTTTCTAATTTTTGATACAACATTTCTTTTTTCACCATTTTCCAAAGTGGAGTTTTATTTACTATTACTGTAGAACTTCATCTAATAGAATGTGCTTTTAAATGGTGAACCTGTAACAAAGAAGTTTAAAATTAATTAAATAAGCAATAACAAAATATGAAGATGTCACGTTTAAATTATATTTAACCTTGTTGTCAACGAGGGAGATTGTTAAAAGTGAATATTGGTCCCTCCAAATATTTCATTACTTTTGAAACTCACCCTCCTAGTAAATATAAGTAATATTATGAAAAATAGATTATAATAAAGTTTTATAATAAAAAGTAAATAAATATGTTATCATTTACCTATTTGTTAAAATACATGTTCAAATTCTTTCTATTAATCTCTTCTTATAATCGGAAGATCTCTTTTAATCTTAATTTGACTGTAGAAAAAAAAATATGAAATAAGTTTTAATTTTTTCATATCATCCTCAAATATTAAGCTAAATCCATAAATATTATAAATTAAAAAGGGCAACACTTAATTTTGAGATAACAAAATTTTTTTGAAAACAATAATTTTTGTAAAGTTTCCATCTTCCCCTTCAAGTTTTCCTTTTTTAATAAGAATTTTCGTTGGGGCTTGAGAAACACTTCTTGACAAAGTAACATATAATTGACCATGACTAAAACCATGTCGTGGAAGATAAATCCCAATGTTGGGTATTGTTTGTCCCTGTGACATATTTATGGTAATTGAAAAACTTAGTTTCATAGGAGATTGTTTCCTAATAAGCACAAAGGGAAGTCTTGCACTCTCTATTATCTTATATTTAATCTTGGGAAGAAAAACTCTCTTTCCATCATTATGACCTGTTAGGATTTCAACATCCAACATATTCATAAAGAATCCATGACATAGTAACCTTGTTCCATTACATAACCCAACTTTAGGGTCTATGTTTCGTAACAACATCAATGATGCACCTTTTTTAAGCTTCAAATTATGTGGTGGAAAACTACCTGCAGTAATAGAGTGCAAGTATTATTGTTTATATAAGTTGTGTGTTTCTCCTTCAACCTCATCAAATGATAACAAATCACGCTCTTCTCCTGAGAAATGACTGATGATAATGTCATTAAGTTTTTTAGCATCCTTATTTTTTATTGTTAGTATGGCTCTTTCTACCATATATGATGCATCCCATGTATGAGATTCCAATTGGGGAAAATGTACCATGAATAAGTTTTTGCATTGAATTTTCTCTTTCCCATGTTATTTCAATTTGGCGGGGTACTTTTTCCATATCACCACATTTGGTAGGTTCAGTACCATCTCCAATGCGCATTAGGTATTCTACAAAATTATGATCTTACAATGATCGCATGTTTTGTCTCAAATGTAAAACCTTTGTGATAGGCCATAAATGAGACTTAACAATACATGCATATATCATTTGTGCCTAAGTACCCTTTTGAACAAGAGGAAGTACTTGGTGAAAATCCCTTCCCAATATCATAATTTTACTACCAAATGGAGCATAACAATCTAGAATATCCTTTAATGATCTGTCTAATGCTTCCAAAGCATATCTATTTTTCATAGGTGCTTTATTCTAAATGATTGTTGTTGTTTCTCTAATTAGTTTCGGAAGATCAGAATGTTTACTTATTGAACAAAATGAATCTACCTTTACATTGATTGGTATCATAAATTGAGAATGTGCAGTTTTACCATCAGGTAATAATGTTGCAACTATATTAGATGAGGCAAATGCTAAAACAATTTGACCTTTGCTTCTCAATTTTGCAATTAAAGTGCAATAAAGGAATGTTTTACCTATCCTTCCTAGTCTATCCACAAAAAAGGACTTGACTTTGTTTATTATTGATAACATCCATAATGGTATTGAATGCAATTAATTGATCATTATTTAACTTATGTATAGATTCCACATCTTCATTATCTACTTGGATGGATAATTGTCGCAACCCAAAAATTTCCGATCTTACGACCTATGGTTTAGACATCCTTTTGAAAATCTCATCAATTAAGGAATGCCCGGACGCCAAACTAATCCTTAATCAATAGTTTTTGAAAATAGGTTCATGGAGTCGCCACCAATGTTTTACTCAAAACATTGGAAAGAGAAAAGGTTTTTAAAGGTTCAATAATGGCCTTGATAACCAGAATTGGGTTCAGGGGTCGATTACATGTAGGGAAGGTATTAAGCACCCCTACAATGCCCTCAATTGGTACCCTATGATGAAGTTAATGTGATAAAAATTAATAAATTAAATACTAGATCCCCTTTATTAATATTTATTTACATTCTATAAATTTAAATTACACAATTGACTCTAAAATGTCTACATGATTGCTTTTATTATAACAAGATTTATCAAAGATAAGAAATAAAAGGAAGAGAAGAAGATTGACTGAAATACCTCTTGAATGAGCTCTATTGAATCTTCAAATATGGAGATTTTTAGGGGCTTTTTGGCAACCTTTCACAATACAATAAGCCTCACAAAACTCAAGAAATACAATAGGAGGGAGAGAGAGAAATTTCGAGCTCTAAGGAGTCTTGGACGAAATTTTGTGGCCCTGAGAACTGTGCCCGAGCTGTCTATTTATAGACATTAAAAAGTTGCCAGAATGGCCCTTTCCAAAATCAGAACGGCCTGTTCTGGATCCGACCGTTCTGTGTTAATTTTGTAACTGGAACGGCCCGTTCTGAAACTAGAACGACCCGTTCCAGATATGAGGTTAACACATAATTGACTAGGCTGGAACGACCCATTCCAAACTAAGGTTTTAGGCCTTTTTGTAACTTGGAACGGCCCGTTCCAGTGTAGGAACGACCCATTCCAGTTTTGGGAATGACCATTTCCAGTTTAGGAACGGCCCGTTCTAGTTTTGGGAACGGCTCGTTCCAATTTAGGCACGACCCGTTCCAGTTGAGGAACGACCCGATCCAAACTTAGGTTTTAGGCCTTTTTATGGACTTGGAACAGCGCGTTCCAGTTTTCCAATAGCTCGTTCTAGGCTACTAAAACCAGCTTGTTTGGGCTTTTAGGCCCTCTGATGTCATGTCCTGTTGCTTTCATGCTTCGGAAGCTCCTTTCCTTGATAATAGACGTCCATTTCATTGCTTTTGTAGGTCCGGACGAAATTGGGTGTCTACAACTTCCCCTCTTTACTTGTCCTTTAGAATGGTTATGTGTTGCTTTTCCAAAGGCAAGTAAAAACGTAGACATTTCGTCTAGGTCTTCTCTCTATCTCTTTGTGTAGGCGCTTCTGCGTTGCTTCCCTTGGATAGGTGTATTTGCTTGTATCCTTGCCCTTTAGAGCAGCTGAGTGATGGGTTGCGTATTCTATTGGGTAATAAGGGTGACAAACTATACACTTGGTCTTCAGTCTTCAAGTAGATGCTCCATGCCATGGCTCTAATTACTTCTCTTGGATAGTGAGGTGGAGATTCGGGTCTTCAATCTTGTTTTGACATTAGATGCCTCCACGTTGTTTCTTTCAGGTAGATGGTGTTTACCGGTATCCTTACCATTTGGGGCAACTGAATGTCCGGTATGCCCCGTTGGGTGTTCAAGGATGGCAAACTTGTACCGCCTAGGCTTCGAGATCCATGTGAATATTCCATGTCGCTTCTTTTGTTGCTACGTCCAAATCTTCCTTTTCGCTTCACCAGTCTAGATGCCCCCACATTCCTTTGGGTAAATGGTGTTTACCTGTTTCCTTGTCCCTAATAAGAGCAACTGAGTGTTGGTTTGAATGCTCCATCGGGTGATAAGGATGGTAAACTTGTACCATATAGGCTTCTAGCTTGATTTCGATGCATCCTACTGCTTCCGCTTGCTTCATGGTAGTGTGTTCCTTTATTTGTAGCTTGTTGAAGAAGGAGTATATTCTGAGCTCAGCCTCTCCAGGCTGGACTGATATTTAGGGCTTCAGCCAGCCCACTACTAGTTCGAAGGCCAGGTAACCCTCTTTGTTGTTGTAGTATTTTCGTAGCTCATCCTCTCCAGGCTGGACTGATATTTTAAGGCTTCAACTGACCCACTACTAGTTCTAAGGTCAGGTAACCCTCTTTGTTGTTGTAGTATTTTCGTAGCTCAACCTCTCCAGGCTGGACTGATATTTTAAGGCTTTAGCCGACCCATTCTAAGGTTAGGTAACCCTCTTTGTTGTTGTAGTATTTTCGTAGCTCAGCCTCTCCAAGCTAGACTGATATTTCAGCCGACCCACTACTAAGGTCAGGTAACCCTCTTTGTTGTTGAAGTAGTTTTGTAGCTCAGCTTCTCCAA